AACTCTGTACCCATTAAACAATAACTCCCCATCCCCCCTGGCAACCATCACTCTACTTTCTGTCTTCACAAATTTAACTACTCTAGGTACCTCATATAAGTGGAACCATATGATATCTGTCCTTTTGTGACTGGCTTATTTTACATAGCATAATGTCCTCAAGGTTCATCCATGTAGTTGCATGTGTCAGAATTTCGTTCTTTTTTATGACTGGATAATATTCCATTATCTGCATATATCATATTTTGTTTATCCATTTCTCTGTCGATGGACACAAATTGTTTTCACCTTTTGACTATTGTGAATAACGCTGCTATAAACATGGGTGTACAGATATCTATTGAAGTCCCTGTTTTCAGTTCTTTTGGGTATATATATACCCAGAAGTGGAACTGCTAGCTCATATGATAATTCTATATTTAAAAAAATATTTTTATTGATGTTTAGAGAGAGAGGAAGGAAAAGAGAGAGAAAGAAAAACATTGATGTGAGAACTAATGATCAATTGGCTGCCTCCTGCATGTCCCCTACCGGCGATCGAGCCCACAACCCTGGCATGTGCCCTGACCAGGAATCAAACAGGCAACCTTTCAGTGCATGGGACAATGTCCACCACTGAGCCACACCAGCCAGGGCTGGTAATTCTATTTTTAATTTTTTGAGAAACCATCATAATGTTTTCCATAGTGGCGGTACCATTTTACATTCCCACTAGCAGTACATAGGAATTAGAATTTCTGCACACTTGTTATTTTCTGGATTTTTTGTTGTTATTTTATCCTAGCTATCCTGATGGATGTGAGTTAGTGGTTGCTTTCTGGGATGCATAGGAAATGGGCAGATAGGGAGCAGGGAGGGGAGGGAATCTTCACTGCAGGTCTTTTAGCACCTTTTTTCCCCCTCACCTGAGGATATATTTTTTGTTTTAGTTGTTTATTTGTTTTGTTTTGTTTTTTATCCTCACCTGAGGACATTTTTCCATTTTTTGTTCAGATAGAGTGGGAGGGGAGGGGGGAGAAACATCGATGTGAAAGGAACACATCGAGTGGTTGCCACCCGCACAACCCAACCAGGGCCGGGGACAAACTGCAACCGAGGTACATGCCCTTAGCGGAAACTGAACCCGGGTCTCTCTGGACCACAAGCCGACACTTTAACCACTGAGTCAAACTGGCCAGAGCTAATTTTTTTTTCCTTTATTGATGTGTGTGTGTGTGTGTGTGTGTGTGTGTGTGAGAGAGAGAGAGAGAGAGAGAGAGAGAGAGAGAGAGAGAGAGAGAGAGGAAGGATGAGGGAGAGGGAGACAGAAACATCAATGACAGAGAACATCAACTGGCCACCTCCTGAATGCCCCCACTGGGTACCGGGCCCACAACCTGGGCATGTGCCCTGACTAGGAACTGAACTGGTGACCTCTTGGTGCATGGGTTGATACTCAACCACTGAGCCACACTGGCCAGGCTTGTTTTTCAATCTTCACCTGAGGATATGTTCTTATTGATTTCAAAGAGAGAGGAAGGGAGAGGGAGAGGGAGGGAGGGAAAGAGAGAGAGAGAGAAACATTGATATGAGAGAGAAACATGGACCGGTTGCCCTCTCTATGCACCCTGACCAGGAATCAAATCCAAAACCTGGGTATGTGCCCTGACTGGGAGTCAAACCCACGACCTTTCAGTGTACAGGACAATGCTCCAATTGAGCCATCTGGCCAGGGCCCTTTCATTTTTTTAATCATCTGAAAGTATTATTTATTCAAGAAATTAATCTATTTTTTTCATATTTATTATGAAAATTTCTAAACTTTTACCCTGGTCCAGCTGTTCATCTCATATAGAAAGCAGACCAGCAGTCAGTTGGTGGTCAGTCAGCCTTAGCCAGGTCCTCCCCTTGTCTGGTAGCTCCCTACACCTGAGAGGCCTCACCAAAGCAGGTCTATCTTTGGGTCCAAATGGTCTCCAGACCCATCCCCATACTGCCTGGCCTCAGGTCCAGGACATGCTTCAGTGCCTCGCCAATGCAACCTCTACTGCGACTCCAGAATAAGACACAACTCTCCAATGAGGCCTGAACAGAGCAGAGACCACTCGTCCCTTGCCTCCCTAAGCTGAAAAGCAGTCTTATACCAGTCAGACTGCATTTGTCCTCTTTGTTGAGAAAGACAGGACACTATAAAATGGGTGGTGGGATTTGCAATAGATACCTTATTCGCCAGAACCAGACTGGCCAGGCCCCTTGAAGTAGGAAGAATTCAAGTTCTATTGACTCTCTTTAGCCTTCCCTTTTTGTCTTGATGATGATGATGATGATGACAGCAGTGATGATAATGGTAGATAACATTGATGGAGCCCTTAATACATAAGAGGTGTGGATCCAGGAACATTATTGGCATCCATTCACTTACTCATCACAGTCCTATAGATGAAAATGGTCTCTATTATTATCCCCATTTTTCAGATGAAGCAACTGAGGCACAAAGGGATTAAGTAACTTATTTAAAGGTACATGGCACTTTCTCTTTATATAAGCTCATGTGCTGATCTCAATTTCCTAGAGATCCCTACTATCAAATCCTATAGCGGAGATCCTTCTGGCTGATATACCTATGCTCTCAGCCCTTTCTGATGACAAATTCCCCTCTGCCTGTCAAAACTTAGCCCTATGTCCCCTTCTCTCAGAACTTTGTTAGATGGTTAGACCCAACTGATAAATAAAGTCAAGCTTTCTCTGGCTGATATATTTACTCTCAGCTAAGTTTGTGGTGTGTGTGTGTGTGTGTGTGTGTGTGTGTGTGTGTGTACAAATACACACGTATATATAATTTTTAAAGTAGAATTTTTTGTTGTTGTTAATCCTCACTCAAGGATATTTTTCCATTGATTCTTAGATAGAATAGAAGGGAGGGCCCTGGCCAGTTTGGCTCAGCGGTGAGAGCGTCGGCCTGCAGTCCAGAAAGACCAGGGTTCGGTTCCTGCTAAGGGCGCGAACCTCTGTTGCAGTTTGTCCCCGGCCCTGGTTGGTCATGTGAGTGGCAGCCACTCGATGTGTCCCTTTCACGTTAATGTTTCTCTCTCTCTCTCTCTCTCTCCTTCCCACTCTGTCTGAACAAAAAAAGGAAAAATGTCCTGGGGTGAGGATAAAAAAAAAAAAAAGAAGGAAGGGAGGGAGAAAGAGAGAGAGAGAGAGAGAGAGAGAGAGAGAGAGACATCAATTGGTTGCTTCCTGCATGCACCCTGACCAGGACCAGTGATTAAACCTGCAACCTAGGTGGGCTGACACTCTAACCTCTGAGCCAAACCAGCCAAAACTAAAGTGGAATTCTTATTTTGGAACACAAAACCATGACAGACTATGATAATACATATTTATATATTCAAGGTAATCTTCAAAGGTAAGTTTTGCGGCAGGGCTAGTGGAAAAGATTTAGGGGCGTCAGGAATTTCCTATTACTTCGTAATCACATCACATTAGTCTGCGTCGAAAGACAGTCCAGCCTGGCTCAGCCCCCTACCCAGGGGAGGCACAGGGTATTGCTGCTGAGTTTTTGGGACTTCTTTTCAGGAACCCCCAGGAAGTCCCAGGCAGAGTCATGAGCCATGCTGTCAAAGGGGCACGGTGGTGATGGAAGGAGAGAAATCTGGGAGCTCTCTGGAACTAGAGTTGCAAAATGAACATAGGATGCCCAGTGAAATTTGAGTTTTAGATAAAACAATGAATAATTTTTTAGTATGATTAGGCCCCAAATATTACATTGAGCATACGTATACTAAAAATTATTTGTTGTTTATCTGAAATACAAATTTTCCTGGGTAGTCTGCATTTCTATTTGCTAAATCTAGGACGGTCTGGGACTTCTCACATTCAGCTCCAGGGGGAAGAACATGAGAGACTGTCACAACAGTTGGTACCCAGCCATCTCCATGTCCTGAGCGAGGCGGCTGGGTGCATTACCCTGCCCTGACTGTCCTCCCCTACCAGCCTCAAGGCAGCTGGCTGGGGTAGGGGAGGGCCCGTCCAGGGTCACCCTATGAAGTCATATTATACTTGACTGTGCCTTGGATCCAGGAATCTTTTTTTTTTCTTTCTGAAGAAAACCAATTTCTTGATGACTTGGCCTCCAGTGCTCAGAGGACTGGGAGAGAATCACCCAAATGGTTTGCAGCACTCCTGGCTTTGTTCCTGCCTTATCCTTGATTGTTTTTTCCTGATCATGAAACAAACACACTGTCAGAGTGAAAATTTAAATATCACAGGAATGTTTAAGTTAGAACAACCTTCCAGGGATAATTAATATCAAGTATAATGTCCTCTTCCAGATTTTCTCTATAAAAATGATCATGTGATTATCATTTCTATAAACAGAATCCTGTTATACAAACTGTTCTGAAACTTCTATTTCACATGACATTAGGGACTTCTTGCCATGCAGGTGTGCATTGCTAATGCACTGGTTTTACTCTGCCTCGTTCTTTAGCTCAGTGGTGTTTGGGCTTTTGGAGCTCTGAGCCCCTTTGAGAGTTTGATGAATGAAAAATACACATAGGCACATCACCCAAATATTTGGGTATCATAGCCTTCCTGAGGTTGTTCTGAGCCCTTCACCCTGGGCATAGCAGGGGTGCAGGGGGGTGGGGAAAGATCACTGAAATGGATCCAGGACAGTGGAAGACTGTGAACATGACCGGCTCTTATTGGCATGGGAAGATCCATCTCTGGGGAGCCTCAGTCAAAGGGATCTTGGATCACTGCCTCCTGTGAGACAGTCTGCTTGTCCGGAGCACCCGTCTCTGGGCTGGTTTCCAGGCCAGGGGATCCTCTCTAAGCAGTCATCCTCTCTCATCAAGATCACATGACTCCAGCAGCTGCCAAACCCCTGGGCAATGCCAAGAGCCTCCTGGCCTCAAACGGGTTGGGTGACATTCACTTCCTGGCGCTGTCCTCTCGGCCTGCTCAGTCATTAAGGAATGCCTCAGCGGCAGCTGTCACAGTAGCAGCAGCAGGAGGACGTGCTGCATGCCCAACACCTCTGGGCGGCTCAGATCTGCCCTAAGGAGGCCTCGGGTGGAGAGGTGGATACTGCTCTTCCTGGCCTCAGCCAAAGTGAGTCTGGGGACCCAGGTAGGGGTGGGAAAGGAGCAGGGTCCAGGTGGAGGTTGGCAAGGTTCTGGACTGAAGCTGGAGTGATGCAGGGGTGTGGGAGTGTGTGTGTGTGTGTGTGTGTGTGTGTGTGTGTGTGTGGTGTCTTGGGATGGGGAATTGGTCATAGCTGTAACTATAAGGCCTCTGCCTCACAGGCTCACTGTCTCAAGTTGGGGAGGAGGGGATCCCTGGGCTGATGACACCCCCAACCAGTCCTCACAATGGGCTGCTGCTCTGGTTGAAGCTGGGCACTGGGGTTTCATGAGGCCCGCTCCCTTGAGCCAGCCCCTGTCCTCCCTGCCTCACAGGTCACTGGAGTGGCAGCTCTGTTTAGAGGCACTCTGAGTAGTTTGGGTAATCACTTTTCCATTGGTGCTTCTTCATCTATTCCTTTTTTAAAAACCACTTTACTGAGTGTGATGTGACTGACATACAAAAAACTGTACATATGTAATGTATAAAACTGGATTCTGGAGCTCCTGTGAGGTATTTTCACCCACGGGTTTTTATTAAATCAGTGTTTCTGTAGAGGTGTGAGGGCTGGGACATCCTATTCTGCCATCTTGCTCTCGATTCCTCATGCTCCTTGGACTAAGGCCTGGAATACCCTCCACGGAGGCACATCCAAACCCTTGCTGGAGGCAGCAGTGCATAGCATGGGTGGCCTGTCTTGGGTCTGCCCTCTACCAGCAGTGTGACTTTGAACAAGTTACTTAACCTAAGCCCTGAGCCTCATTTCCCTCATCTGTAAAATGGAGATAATACCTACCTCCCAGAGTTGTCAGGATTAAATGAGGAAGGAATGCAAAATGCCAAGCACGCAATTAGTGTTCAATAAACAGGCGCTGTTGTAATTATTTATTATTAGCCCGACACTGGTCCCACCTCACCTAGGGAAGACTTTCCAGCCCTCTTCTCCCTGCAGTTTCCTAAGGCACCAGTGAGAATGCTTTTTGGCATATAATGTCTTACATTGTTATTTAGCTAGTTTGTGCTCAAACCAGATCATGTTTCATGCATTTCTTCTGCTGCCCTCTCCCCCACCCCAGCACCCAAGACAGAGTCAGTCCCATAAGAGGAACTCAAGGATAAAGAACAAAGTGGAGTTTAGAGAAGGGGAGGGACACAAAGAGGGAGAGGTCAGGGGAAGACTGAGAAAGGGAGGTGAGAAGGTGGGAAAGGAGGGTGGCATTATCCAGGCTTGAATGACATGCAGCTACTGAGCACAGGAAGGAGAAAGGATTGCCCAGAGAGGCCATCAGTGGGAACTGGGATGTCTTTTGCATCCTGTGAATTCCTTTTACTTTTCCACAAACTCACATAAAAAATGGTCTCTTCTCCTCCCTCCCCTGCTCATCCCAAAGAGAACTGTGCTTCTTGACTAGGCTAATATCTATTCACCAAACCTGTTCATTGATTTTAATAATGTTCTCTATATCATCTATGGAAACCTCTCTCCATATCTCTCTCTCCTCTGCCATCTCCCTCTCCATCACTTCACCCTCTCTGGACCTGGGTCTGCTCACCTATAAAACTAGATTTAACTAAATGACCTCAAAAGTCCTTTCTCCCCCTAGCATTCTCTTATCTATTTGCTTTCATTCTCTTATCTATCTTGATACCTACCTCTCATTTACCCAAACAACTTAAGCTATTGATCATTCCTCCTTTTTCAAAAAATATTTTTTTCCAAGAAAATTTATAAATGTCCACTAGGCTCTAAAGTTTCATGAAGAACTTTCTTGATCACTTAACTCCAATGCCTAGTTCAATACCTAGCATGCAGCAGGTGCTCAATATCTGTTGAATAATTAGATAGATGGATAGAATTGCCACCATATGCCTGGGGGGAGTTACGAAACACAGGAGAACACATTAGCAGGTGGTTGGCTTAAAAAAATCATGGTCATTCTGAGAGTAACTCCAGTTTAGTTTAGATGTTTACAAGTATGAAACACTGAGAAACACTGGCATCACCATCTTAATTTTTATCCATTGCCACTCACTTAGCTAATCTATTGTCATTTTGTTCAGTAATTCTAAATTGAGGGGAGCTGCCCTGTGGCAGGAGTGTGTGATTTTTCAGTCATTTACATAATAAGGAATATCTGGGAGAAGAAGGAAGGAAGAGGAGGCAGATGCTAGGAGGGGAGAGGACTTGGCCTTCCTTAACAATGACACCCATCTTTTTTTTTTTTTGGCCGGGGGAGAGCACTAATACAGTCCCCCACTACCACAAATTATGCAGAATGACACCTATCTTTTATTGAGCACTTACTATGTGCCAGACTCTTCATTCACATCGGCTCACTTAATATTCTGAATGACTCTGAGAGGAAGGTAGTACTATAAATATCAACCCATCTCACAGATGGGAAACTGAGGCTCACATAGGTTAAACAAACTTGCCTGAGGTTTTACAGGCAGCAATGGGTATATCAGTAATTTGAATCACACTCCAGAGTCTGAGCAGTTGCAGTCCCCACCCCCTGCCTGGGGTTGCAATGAAAACCTCAGTCACCGAGGCTTGAAAACCCCTGCAAATGTTTTGGCGCTGCCTGCAAGGTCCCAGGCCCCCTACCCAAAATTTCATCGGGTTTTTTTTTGTTTTTGTTTTTGTTTTTTTTTTATCATCCTCACCCGAGGACATTTTTCCATTTTTTGTTTAGGTAGAGTGGGAGGGAGAGAGAGGGAGAGAGAGAGAAACATCGATGTGAAAGGGACACATCGAGTGGTCGCCACTCGCGCAACCAACCAGGGCCGGGGACAAACTGCAACCGAGGTACGTGCCCTTAGCGGGAACTGAACCCGGGTCTCTCCGGACTACAGGCCAATGCTCTAACCGCTGAGCCAAACCGGCCAGGGCCCTTTACACACTTTTGCTCCTTCTTAGTTATGGGATATTCTCAAGTTGGTAAAATGGATTTGGAACCAAGCCAAGAGAAGGGAGAGATTCCAAAAGATTTATGACTTGACAACCTATAGTTGTACTTCTATTAACTAATCTTGTTCCCATATGTCATCTCTCAGTTCTATCTGTCAGTGTGTACAGGGGTCTTTTGTCATTGAAGAAAGAATATATAAATAGGTGATCATGGTTCCCTCTAAAGAGGCTGTTCTAGCCCTGGCTGGTTTGGCTCAGCGGTTAGACTGTCGGTCCTCGGACCAAAGAGTCTCGGGATCGATCCCAGTCAGGCACACATGCTTCAGTTGCAGTTTGTCCCCGGCCCCGTTGGGGTTGTGCGGAAGGCGACCAGTCGATGTGCTCCTCTCACACAGATGTTTCTCTCGTTCTCTCTCTCCCTCCCTCCCAGAATATCTGAAGACAAATAGAAAAATATCCTCAGGTGAGGATTTAAAAATAATAATAAAAATAAAGAGGCTGTTCTAGATGAGTTTAGGCAACACGGTTGTAATTTTGGGAGTTTTTAAATGCAAACACTTGGGCCTCGCCACATGCTCAAATGGACGTTTCCCTTCAAGGCCATCATCTTGGGAAGCTGTGTATTTAATCCAACAGTTCCGCCATTGCTGAGAACATTTTTGGAGTCTCTCCTTTGCTCTCAGATAATATTTCAAACCCACATTGTAACTACATTGTGACTCTGTATCTTTCATTTAAAACAGTCTCATGCCACTTGGGCACTCACTTCCATTCCCACCAGGCTTGGCTCCCAGTGACTTTTGGCCATTTTCACAATACCAGACATACACTTGAAGGACAAAAATCTGTCTTCACTGAGGTTAACCAGAAGGTTCTCAGGCAGCCCTCTAAGAAGAATTTGAAGAATGACTGAGCTGTGGCAGGTGGAGAATGAGCCTACAGCTCCCTGATGTGGCTACGCAGAGGGCCAGCAGGCATTTGAATGTGTAAGTTCTGTGCTTTATTTTCAAAACAGGCATTGTTTTCCAGCCACACAGTACAGAGGAATGCAACCAATGGCTGGGTACAAACCCACAGATCAGGCCACCCCTGAGCAGGGAGATTAAAGAACAGCAGATGCTTTTCTGGAAAATAGTCTCTCTGGGCACAGGCCCACATTGGGGTCTGGACTGAGGCTAGGGGTGCATCTACCTGCTTCCCCTGCGAACTGGGTCTTCCTGCCTTCACTTCCAGCAAGGAAACAGGAAGAAGTGAGGTGGTGACCTCACTATGTGTGCATGTCATGGTTGAGGTGAGGTATCAGGGAGGCTACACCTTCATCACACTCTTTGCACCTCCTTCCAGAGTCCAGTGTGGCTGGGCAGGGATCTCTCATTATCTGTCTCCCAATCCCCCCTTCCGGAAGTGCCCCCTTATGTCTTCCTAAGGGTCATAGGCTCTAGGCCTTGGTTTAACTCAAGTAGGCCACTGAGGGGCAGCAGAAGAGGAAAGGAAGGGGGGGAAGAAGAGGGCAGGAGACAAGGAGAAAGGGAAGGAGCAGTGGAAGCAGGGGTGTAGAAGGGAATTAGGGAGGGGAGCAAAGGAGAAAAAGGGCACTAATGCTCACAGCTTTTCCTACCACAGCTGAGGCCCTGCCTTCCCAGAGCAGCCATGTCAGAAGGGGAGAGTAAGGACAGCTCCGGCAGTGAGTGCCCCGTGTGCTATGAGAAGTTCCGTGATCTGGAGGGCGCCAGCCGGACACTGAGCTGTGGCCATGTGTTCTGCCATGACTGTCTTGTCAAGTACCTACTCTCCACCCGCGTGGATGGGCAGGTCCAGAGGACCATCGTCTGCCCCATCTGTCGCTATGTCACCTTCCTCAGCAAGAAGAGCTCCCGCTGGCCCTCCATGCTGGACAAGAGCTCCCAGACCCTGGCTGTGCCTACGGGCCTGCCCTCTGGGCCACCACCAAGCACCCTGGGCCACACAAACCCCCTGGCCATCTCCCAGCCTGTCTGGAGAGCATCTCCAAGTCAGAGTACCCAGCTCCCCTTGGACTTACTGCCCAGCCTGCCCCGGGAGCCTCAGATCTTCATCATCAGCCGCCATGGGATGCCCCTGGGGGAGCAGGACAGTGTCCTGCCACGGCGCAGCCTGGCACAGCTCTCAGAGGCATCCCCAGCTCCCAGCTCCACCCGGTCATTCTGCTGCAGATCCCGGGCCCTCCTGCTCATCACCCTCATCGCCATCGTGGCTGTGGTAGCTGCCATCTTGCCCTGGGTACTGCTGGTGAGGAAGCAGGCATGAGTGGAGGCACTTGCAGGAGCCGCCCAGTGAGGCCTGGCCTGAGAGCTGTTCTGGAAGCTTCCCCGCTCCACCCCACCCCACCAGGCTGGCCAAGGTCTAGGAAGGAGCAGAGAGCTCCCAGTGCAGACCTAGTGCAACCAAGCCCAGTGGGGAGACCTGGGGCAGAGAGAGGGCATTAGGATGGTGCTAACTGAAAGTATGGTGGCATCTCCCCACCTCCAGCTCCTTGCTCCCAGCAAGGGTTCAGACAGGACAGGGAAGCTGAGGGCTATTAATCTCTGAGGCTAGAGCTGAGCTGAGCACCTGAACTCTGAACTGAAATGGAAACTCCAGGTTCTAGGCCAGGGTCAAAAATGTGACAGAAGCCTCTCCTCAGAAACAAGAGCTGTGCCACCCGCCACCCACCACCCCCAAGTAGCCTCAGCAAATACTTTCTCCTTCCCCTAGGCTAGAAATGAACAAGGTGGGAAGATGGGTGGTTTCCCCTTGCTTTGGGGTTACCAGCCCTGAGGTGTAGTTCTTATCTGCCAGGTGATCTACCTGAAGCCAGGTGGGGCTCCCTAGTAGGAACAAGGAATTCTGTTGAATGGGGGTCCAATGGAAGGGCTCCTCCAGTCAGAATTTTCACCCAGGATTCTCTAGTTCGTTCTCACAAACAGAAGAGGTGGCACAGGGGCTGAAGGCACATGTGCTTCCCAGAGTCTCAGCACCCATCCAGGATCCTCACAGCTGGACCACTGTGCACCCCCAAATCGCCAGCCTGGAATGTGCACTTCCCCAAGGAAGCAGCTGGTCTCAGAGGCTGTGGCGAGGATGTCTGGGGAAAGTAACAGAAAAAGGCCTTCCTGGGAAGCTGAGGCCACATTGGGAAACAGGAGTTTGTTGATAGAGGCCGAAGCCAGCAGAATGGCCCACAAACTCAGCCAAAGTTCTCCCCAAGTCTCCCAAGCCCAAGGAATGGTCCAAATATTGAGTGTTCGGTGTCAAGGATGGACTGGAAGGTGAAGAGTGCAGGAGAAGCCTAATGGCCGAGACTTGAATCAGCTAAGAACTATGTGGGCAAATTAACCCCTGAGGGCTCCCACCTCTCTCCCAGCCCATGTCCTCCTCCTCATGACCCAACCACTCATTAGAGGCCACACCAGCTGGGCCAGTTTCTGAGGTGGATTCCCAGGCTGGGCTGGGTAAGGAAGGGTGGGGAAGAAAACAGCTGTGCTTGTCAGGGACACTAGTCTCAACAAATGCTGAAACCCAGGTGCTATCAGCCACTGGGCAAGGCCTCTTCACCTAGGGACCCCACCTTGGACTGTGCTGGGGGTCCTTGATGAGGACCACTAGGGAGCAAGTCATTCAGGAACAACTATTTTTTGTTTATTAGGCCCATAAGTCAATGGGCCATAATCTTAAATTAATTTTAGGCTTAAAAGAAAAAACAACCAACCTCCAGCTATTAACTCAAAGAGGTGGTTGTTTGCAGTCCAGGTGTGCCAACAACTGAGCCTTCCACAACCTATACCTCTCTCGGCAATTTGCTATCTGTGGGGAAAGAAATAGCACTCTGCCTCTTATCTTCCCAAATCCCTGAAGTGGCTGTCACTTGGGAACCATTAGGGAGTGGGATCCATGCTACAGGGAATATTTGGGACACAGGGAGGGTGGGTTTAAAGCACGTATGGATTTCTTTATGTTCTTTTCAAGACTAGAGAAGAGCATAGGTGCTATTTGTGGGGATACAGGTAGATTCGTGGGGAAAATATTTATTATAGAAATAAAAATGTTAAATTTACAAAGACTCTAATGAGTCTGTTTTAACCTCAGCCAGGCTGCTTCAAACTCTGTCATGAATTTTTGGGGACCTGATTTTAGTCTCTTCAGATTCTGTTGTTTGTCAAAAATTAATTTCAAAATACCTGTAGAGTTTTCGTGTTGTTCAGCAGTGACTTGTAGATGGCACTTATCTTATTTTCAAAGAATGTCAAAAGCTATTTTTAAAATAAAAGTATATATTTTCTCAAAGATGCCTGAGACATTGCAAATGCAGGTGGGAAGCTCTGAGCTTGGACTTTTAAGATAATTCACTTTAGATGGAAAAAACTATTTGAAAATACAAATGCATATGGCTCTTAAACATTTATTCAGCCACACTTGTGAAGGAAATGCAAATTAATATTCTGCTGGCATACCATTTTCACCTATTAGTTTGTCAAACCCTGAAAGTTTCAAAACCCACTCTGCTGACAAAGCTGAGGGGAAGCAGGTGAGGTGGTGGGAATGTATATTGATAAAACCCCTAGGAAGGGAAATTTGACATTATCTATCATATTTTCTACTTTGACCCAGCAATTCCTGCTTTAGAAATGTATCCTACAGATATACTTGCACATATGGGCAGTGACATATACAATGTTATGTAATTGCAGCACTGTGCACAGTAACAAAGGACTGGGGAAACCCTACATGCCAATCAAAGGGGACTGGTCGTAAAACTTAACACGCAGGGACTACTGTGCAGCTGTAAAAAGAAAAAGAAAGAAGTTTATGAACTGACATGCAAAGTCTCCAAGATACAATGGCCGATGGGAAAAAGCAAGGTGTGTAACACTGGTATCAGGTACTATATTCTATACAGAAAGTGGGGAAATAAGAATTGACATTCCTATTTGCTTATTTATGCATAAAGAAATTGGGAAAATACACACACAAAACTAATAACAGTGATTAATGATGGAAGGGGATGAGAAAATGATAAAATGAGATGGGGAATTTTCCTTTTACCTTTACCACTCTTTTTTAATCCTCACTGGAGGATGTGTTTTTATTGATTTTAGAGAGAGGAAGGGAGAGAGAAAGAGAAACATTGATGTGTGAGAGAGAAACATTGATTGGAACCCATACGTGCCCTGACCAGGGAGCGTACCTGTGACCTGACAGGGAATCAAACCACAACCTTTTGGTGCAGAAGACGACACCCCAATTAACTATACCACCCAGCCAGAGCCCTTTAACACTTTTTTATTTTTAAACCAAGTAAACATGTTACTTATTCAAAAAGTAAATTGAAAAATTGTATTAGAAGCTAAAGATATCTTCAAGTGTACACACCTATTGCCTGGTGAGGAGCCGGCCCCAAGAACATTTGAGAGCTGCCAGACCGCTTGTCCTTTGGTTTCAGAGTGTCAGCTACTGGTGCAGTGGGACTGGTTTGTCTGGTTAGAGGTGTAACATCTTATGCTTAACAGGCACCCGAGAAAGGAAGGTAAAAAGTTTAATATGCTCAGTGTTTCTAAGTTCCTATGGATTTCTCTGGGTCCCATCATTCTTCTCTACCTTTTCTTCCCTTTCTCAAATAAAATCTTTTGCTTTACACAATCACCCTGAGGTCAGGGTACTGTAGAAAAATGCCATTAGAGAGATAGATAGACAAATGGGTGGAGGCCTGGGATTAAATGTAAACTCTTACTCCTCTCCTCCTCCCCTTCACACACACACACACACACCCCATAGCCACCTCCCATCTGACAAGGAGAAAATTCTGAGATGTCCTAAATTACAACAGGGTGGAAGGTAGAGACAAGAAGGAGTTAATCAGTCAACTGCAGGGCAAAGCAACAAGACTGCTTATATTCCTGAGTGTAAGATGGAACTTTGAATTAACTTCCAGGTGGCTATTTCTGCCAGGCACTGCTATAACCCAGGAGCCTCCACTTCTTGCTTACACGTGAACTTTTCAGACTGTTGCCCCCACTTCACCTTATCTGTAGCCAATGTAAATTCTTTCAAAACAGCTTACATCTTTCAACTTGACGTTTTCTTGTTTGTTTTTTATCCTCACCCGAGGACATGGAGAGAGAGAGAGAGAGAGAGAGAGAGAGAGAGAGAGAGAGAGAGAGAGAGAGAGAAACATGGTTGCCCTCCACAAGCTCCCCAACAGGTCCAACTGAACCACTCCAGCCAGGCCCCCTACTTGATGTTTTTAAAAAGCCATCAATTCTGGGGCTGTGGACATGTTGGCTTTCCCATCTGGCACTGCTGCTGGTGGTTTAGACTTCATGCCCTAGGACCTAGTCTTTTGCTTGCTAGTAATGGCCCAATAAACCCTTCTTTTAACATTTAAAAAAAAAAAATTCTGCTGTGGAAGTTAAAATTTTTGTTTTAACATATCACAATAAACTTTACCTCTAATATATACTTGCAGTCTAGGACTGCTGAGCAAAGGATCCATACATTGCTGCTGGGCTCTGAGCCAGGGTTGCCTGGGCATGCACTTTAGAGACCCCTGTGCCCTCAGATACAGTCTTATGACTGTGCCCTCAATGAAGCCTGCAGATGACATAGACAGCTCTGCTACTATTTTCACTTCTCCCTTTCACCACCTTATCAGTTCAAATGTCCTTTTTTTTTTTGGCACAAAATAAACAACCTTGCCCCATCCTCACAATTCCTCACTTTCCTTTATCCTACTCTAACCCAATACAAATGAGTGCAACTAATTCTCCACATAAACTACTTGCAGTTCCAACAAGCAGTGCTGGTGCAGGCCTCTCTCTGGGCCTTTGCTTAAGCAGCTCCCTCCACACTGCCCACCCTTCTTGTCTACCTGAAAAACTCCTACCTAGCTTTCCAGAAACAGTTCCAGGGGTACCTATGAAGATTTCCCAACCCCCCAGTTCAGTTAGAATTGACTGCATCCATCATCTTCCCAAGACACTTTATTATGAGTATTTGTTGACAAGCCTACTCCTCCTAGACAATGTGCTCCTTAATGAGAGGCTAGATCCTACTGATCTTGGTAAGATCACACCAAGTGCTTGGCATAAAATTTAGTAAAGAATAAAAACTGGATAAATAATTGAAGACTGCATGAGTGAATGAATGAACAAATGAACGAACATATAAATGTGATAATTTGGTGTCTCGAAAAAAGTTATCCATGGAATCTGGATAATTCCTGCTTTGGTGTGTCTTAGAGCTTCACAAAGACCAGCTTCAAAGTGACCCAAAAGAGCCAGTTTAAAAGGACCTTTCAAATTATAAGAGGAATGTAAGGAAGTGGGAAAGAGAGGGCAACCAGAGAATCATGCAGGGTAGAGCCAAAATACCCAATAGACACTTGTGAAGATAAACAGACTCTATAACTAGGCTACCAGTAATTTGCATCTGTGTGTACAATTTGTACCCCAGTAATCTTCACATGGTATAAAGTGGTTATGCTGTCCAAATGGTGGGCTGAAGGTTTAATTTTGATGACTCAGTGTTGGATGAAGGAGGGAGATAAGGAAGCCTGGGAGGGACGGGTAACAGCAGAAATGATGGGGATGCTGAAGAAACATGCAGGGCCTTTGTGAGAAGAGAGGAAGATGATGGGGAGACCTGAAGAAGAGGAGGTTAAGGAAACAAGTAAGGACAGTAAGAAGGGGGGAGGGCTGTGAAAGCCAGACAGGAAACCAAGGTAGGAAGGCAGGAGCCTTCCTAGGTTCCCTATGGCTCTCTGCATCCAAATCAAACTCAGCTAGACACAGAGCCTTGTGGGCTTCTCTCTGAATGCCTCACTCCAGCCATAAGGACCTGGCTCCTGCAAACAATGTGTCATGCTGCTTCACACTTCCATGCTTTCCCTCAAGCTATTCCCCCTGCCTCATGGAGCTAATTTTACATTCTTCAAAACTCAGTCAAGGGTGACCTCACCCCACAAATCTTCTCTGACCCCAGGGCTCTCTTCTGTTCTTAAAGCACAAGCACAGAAGGACCAAGGGCACCAAGGCTCAGCCAGCACTTTTCCTGGGATCTTGTGATTGTTGATTTCGTTGTGTATCTCTCATCTTAGACAATGAGATTCCTGCAGGCAGAAACTTTGACTTATTTCATTGTGTAGCTCCAGTGTCCAGTTCACTGCTGGCCCACGAAAGATGCTCCTTAAACATCTGTTGAAACGAATTGCAGAGGAATTCTCACTGAATTTTTAAATCACCAGTAAAATCTGCGACTATTTTAAATCGTGAAAACACATGTTCTTTAGTGACTCTGCTTTGGGTCCTCAAGGATATGGTTGCTCACTCTTTGACTTGACTTAGTGGGTTCCCACAAATTGGGATTATATACAGTTACCAGAAGGGGCTGGGAAGCCAGCCTGCAAAGGTTTATCAAATAACCTATGGGTTCTGTATAACCTTGCACAAGTTCCTCTGAATTCTCTGTGGCTCCACGTCCCCATCTGTAAAATGGGGACAACAATACCAGCATCACAAGGGTATTTAGCGGATTAAAGGACCTAAAAATGTAAAGTGAGTGGAAGAATGTCCCTAGCGCTCAGCAAGCTCGTTTCGTCTCATGTAATGTGAAATGTCTACCTCAGTACACTTGTATTATTCACGCAACAGAATCCGAGCCCCTACCTCTGAAGTTCCCGCCACACTGCAGTCTGTTTGCCTTCAGGAGCCCCCCTCCCCACCCCCACCCCCCTCCCCACCCCCACCTCTTGCCCTGCTTCCATCAGATCCCGAACTGAATGACAGCAGGCGGTACGCGGCAGAAAGGGCCACAGCTCTCTGCAGGCAAAGGCTTCCTCACACCAGCCTCCTTCAAAGTGTGGTCTAGGACCAGCACCTTCGGCATCACCTGGCAGCTTGTT